AAGGCCCTCGGCGCTGGATCTCAGTGTCCGGGCTGAATGATGGGGGTGGAGACGCTCCTTCAGGTATACTGGACCGAGGCCGTTTAGGGCTTTAAAGGTCAGCACCAACACTTTGAATCGTGCTCGGAAACGTACTGGGAGCCAATGCAGGTCTCTCAGAACCGGTGTTATATGGTCCCGGCGGCCACTCCCAGTCACCAGTCTAGCTGCCGCATTCTGGATTAATTGCAGTTTCCGGGTCACCTTCAAAGGTAGCCCCACGTAGAGCGCATTGCAGTAGTCCAAGCGTGAGATAACTAGAGCATGCACCACTCTGGCGAGACAGTTCGCGGGTAGGTAGGGTCTTAGCCTGCGTACCAGGTGGAGCTGGTAGACAGCTGCCCTGGACACAGAGTTAACCTGCGCCTCCATGGACAGCTGTGAGTCCAAAATGACTCCCAGGCTACGCACCTGGTCCTTTAGGGGCACAGTTACCCCATTCAAGACCAGGGAATCCCCCACACCAACCCGCTCCCTGTCCCCCAAAAACAGTACTTCTGTCTTGTCAGGATTCAACCTCAGTCTGTTAGCCGCCATCCATCCTCCAACCGCCTCCAGGCACTCACACAGGACCTTCACCGCCTTCACTGGTTCTGATTTAAAGGAGAGGTAGAGCTGGGTGTCATCTGCGTACTGATGAACACCCAGTCCAAACCCCCTGATGATCTCTCCCAGCGGCTTCATATAGATATTAAAAAGCATGGGGGAGAGGACAGAACCCTGAGGCACCCCACAAGTGAGAGCCCAGGGGTCTGAACACTCATCCCCCACCACCACTTTCTGGACACGGCCCAGGAGGAAGGAGCGGAACCACTGTATGACAGTGCCCCCAGCTCCCAACCCCTCTAGACGGTCCAGAAGGATGTTATGGTCGATGGTGTCAAAGGCCGCTGAGAGATCCAGCAGAACTAGGAAACAGCTCTCACCTTTGTCCCTAGCCCGCCGGAGATCATCAACCAGTGCGACCAAGGCAGTTTCAGTCCCATGGTGAGACCTGAATCCCGATTGGAAGGGATCCAAATGGTCCGTTTCCTCCAGGCGTGCTTGGAGTTGTTCAGCAACCACCCGCTCAATCACCTTGCCCAAGAATGGCAGATTTGAGACTGGGCGATAGTTGGCCAAATTGGCCGGGTCTAAAGATGTTTTTTTAAGAAGCGGTTTAATGACCGCCTCTTTCAGCGGGTCTGGGAAGGCTCCCTCACAGAGGGAAGCATTCACCACTCCGCAGAGCCCATCGCCCAGCCCTTCCCGGCTCGCTTTTATCAGCCAGGATGGGCAAGGATCAAGGAGACAGGTGGTCGGTTTCACTTTTCCAAGCAGCCTGTCCACATCCTCGGAGGTAACAGATTGGAATTGATCCCATGTAACAGGACCAGACAGAACTCTAGCACTCTCCCGCCCTGGCCCTGCTCCCACGGTGGAGTCTACCTCCTTCTGAATCTGAGCGATTTTATCTGCAAAAAACTTTGCAAAAGCATTGCAGGAGATCTTGGGGTCCCTACCAGGCCCCGGTGGTACAGGTGGTTCCGATAGATTGCGAACCACCTGAAAAAGTCTCCTGCTGCTGTTTTCTGCAGATGCAATGGAGGCGGCGAAGAAGGCCCTCTTCGCCGTCGCCATTGCCACTTGGTAGGCTCGACGCTGAGCTCTAACCCGTGTCCGGTCTGATTCAGAATGAGTTTTCCGCCACCGGCGCTCTAGCCGTCTCAACGATTGTTTCATCACCCTCAGCTCTGGGGAAAACCACGGGGCTGTCCGGGCTCCATGCAATCGGAGAGGGCGCTTCGGAGCCAGACAGTCAATAGCCCTGGTTAACTCCGCATTCCAGCGTGCCACCAGGGAATCAGCTGAAAGGCCATCAACTTGGGATAAAGCATCCCCTACCACTCTCTGGAAACCAATTGGATCCATTAAGTGGCGGGGGCGGACCATCCGAATTGGTCCCACCTCCCTGCAGAGGGGAAGGGTTGCGGAGAAGTCCAGTTGCACCAGGAAGTGATCTGACCATGGCACTTCTTTTGTTTCGCTTTTAGTTAGTGTCAGATCACCAACATCCATAGAGGTGAACACCAAGTCTAAGGCATGTCCATGGCTATGAGTTGGGCCAAACTTATTCAGGGACAGCCCCATGGAGGCCATGCTTTCCATGAAGTCCCGAGCGGCCCCTTGTAAGGTCGTGTCGGCATGGATGTTAAAATCCCCCAGGACAACCAAGCTAGGTGTCTCCAGGAGCATATCCGCCACGACCTGAAGCAGCTCGGGCAGGGAATCCTTGGTGCAGCGGGGAGGTCGGTACACCAGTAGGAATCCTGTACTGCCCCTATTGCCCAACTTCCAGAACATGCACTCAGAGAACTGGGTCTTCCCAATAGGACGCCTGGTGCAGACTAATGACTTCCTAAAAATCACTGCAACCCCCCCTCCCCGCCCACATGACCTGGGTTGCTGTGCGTAAGAGAAGCCTGGTGGGCAAGCAGCGGCAAGGACAGGCCCATCTGCTTCATCCAACCAGGTCTCTGTCACACATGCCAGGTCAAATCCTCCATCCACAATCAGGTCGTGGATGGCAGTGGTTTTATTCATCATTGACCTGGCATTGCACAGCAACACTTTCAGGTCATGTGGGTTTCCCTTGCTGATTCCAGTATCCTTCCGGTCAGGACCAGACCTGGAGGCAGGAATAGTCCTCAGACAACGACTAAACCTGCCTCCTCGGTAATGACATGGTCTGGTCTTAGCGTAACTCCTCCTCCTACCCATGATCACTGAGATCGGTTGTCCCAGTGCATCCCCCCCTGTGGAACATGCCCCAGCCATTTTGTTTGCTGGGACCCACTCCCAGGCAGCCCTGACCCCACCCCTTAAAAAGCAAAATACAAATTATATAATAATTTAACAGAATAATAATAATAATAATAATAATAATAATAATAATACAACAAAACAGGACAAAATAAAACAAGAAACAATAGCGCTGACTAAATGCTTATCCCTCCCCAAGCAAAAATAAAATAGTAAAATAATATAATATTATAAAAAACAACAACAACCATTTAAGGTGCTGCAAATTAAAAACAATTAAAACATTTAAAACCATTTTGTCCATTGCTGCCGGTAGCTGCTCAGGCCTCTAAACTGTAGTGGTAGTGCAGGCCCCGCCCCCTAGGCCGGATGGAGTTGGCAGAGGAGGGAGCAGCCTTCCCAACACTCACACAAGCAGCAGCAGCAGCAGCCGTGTCCCGGAGGCCTCTCTCAGGCCTCTTATGCTGTGACGGTGAGTGCAGGCCCCGCCCCCAGGCCAGATGGAGTTGGCAGAAAAGGGAGCGGTCCTCCCAACACTCACGCAAACAGCAACAGCAGCCGTGTCCCGGAGACCTTGATGGAGGCCCTGGCAGTGAGTGCAGGTCCTGCCCCCTAGGCCGGATGGAGATGGCAGAGGAGGGAGCAGTCTTCCCAACACTCACACAAGCAGCAGCAGCAGCCTTATTTCAGACATTGTGATATATCAGTATACTGTGATGTTTAGCTGGCGATATATAGCAATGTTGAAAACCAGATATCACCCAGCCCTAATTCTAGGTTGTTTGGATTGTACAAAGTAGCAAGTGCAGTTTTTCTTTTTGAAATATATTAACGAAACTCCTTATGCGTAAGCTCCTTAAAGTTTGCACTTATAGGACACGATCCATCAGGACACTCTCTTGTGCAGCCTCCTGGGAAAGTTGTCAGGAGAGTGAGCCCTTGGCATGGTGCAGACATCACACTAAGCAAAAAGAAAGCTCAACAGGACTGCAAGCCTGCAGGCTCCCAGAGAGGAGCGCCGCAACCCCATAGTTGCCTTTGACTGGACTTAACCATCCAGTGAAGGGACGCGGGTGGCGCTGTGGGTAAAACCTCAGTGCCTAGGACTTGCCGATCGCATGGTCGGCGGTTCGAATCCCTGCGGCCTGGTGTGCTCCCGTAGTTCGATCCCAGCGCCTGCCAACCTAGCAGTTCGAAAGCACCCCCGGGTGCAAGTAGATAAATAGGGACCGCTTACCAGCGGGAAGGTAAACGGCGTTCCGTGTGCTGCGCTGGCTCGCCAGATGCAGCTTGTCACGCTGGCCATGTGACCCGGAAGTGTCTGCGGACAGCGCTGGCTCCCGGCCTATAGAGTGAGATGAGCGCACAACCCTAGAGTCTGGCAAGACTGGCCCGTACGGGCAGGGGTACCTTTAACCATCCAGTGGCCCTTTGCCTTTTACCTTTTATGACCCTTAGTTGTGGTTGGAGGAGTACTTAAAAAAAAAAAGAAAAAGTTTTGCAATTGATTCGTCACTGACGCGTTACAAAATCCCTGCTAAAGGTTCACTTCTCTGTTCCTTTGACATGCCTACTTTAAAAGTCAACAACAAAACATTCAGGCACTCTGCCATATTTTTGCTCTCAGGCCTTCCTTGTATCATTTTATTGTTTTAGCACTTTGGGCTGCGGGTTTGCTACCCCTGCTTTAGAGCAGAGATGGGAGGAATCTTTGGCCCTCCAGACATTGATGGAGCCAGCTGGGCTGATAGCAAGAGACTGGGAGTTGTAGTTCAGGGACAGCTGGAAGGTCGCAGGTTCCCTTTCCTGGCTTTACAGGCACTGGTAACCTGATCTCATGCTGAGGCAGGAAACATTAACCATGCAATCCTATACGATCAGCTCACAATTAAGTTTCAATGGGATTTACTCCCAGGAAAGCAAGACTAGGATTGCAGCCTTTGTGTTGATGGAGGAAGCAAATCCACCAGCCAAAGAGGGTCATTTGAGCTTCTAATACTTTAGCAATCCTACTACTTTAGAACAGGTAGAAAGGTTCACACGTCAAGGCATGTTCTTTGGCAAAGTTAATGTTTCCAGGGGTTCTTGCTTCCCTCCTTCTTTCAAACACCGTCCCCCCCCCCCCTTTTCAGCTTCGTTTCTTGTTCTTCTCCTTCTAGTGCAATCTGGTTCATTTCCTGGGACTTGGCCATCATCTGAGAGCCCTGAACTTCTTGATTGGTGCCTTCGACCAGCTGAATCCACAGTCCTCGGAAGGAGTGAAAATAACAGATACTCAGTTTGACGGCGTGGAGGTCAGAGTGTACGAGCCACTGGCGAAAGGAGGGGCAAAGCTAAGGCGCAGTGTGGTCTACATCCATGGAGGAGGATGGGCCCTGGCAAGTGCAAGTATGTCTTCTGGGCAGCTGCCATGTGCTCGTTCCGCTGCATCCTTCCACACACCTGTTTTGTGGTCTCTGAATAAGTTAACAGCAGTTTCCCTGAGGACTTCTGAGTGGTTGATGTAAGGTGGAACCAATAGATGCAAAGAGTCCTAAGTTGCAGAGAAAGCAGCCTCATGGCAATAATAATATATTAATAATTACATATAATATATATATATATATATCCTGCCCATCTTGGCAGCTTCCAAGAAAAGATTAAAAATCCATTAAGACATCAGTCATTAAAAACTTCCCTAAATGGCTGCCTTCAGGTGTCTTCTAAGAGTCAGATGGTTGTTTTTTCCCTTGACATCCAATGGGAGGGCATTCCTCAGGGCGGGCGCCACTACCGAGAAGGCCCTCTGCCTGGTTCCCCGCAACCCCACTTCTCGTAGGGAAGGAACTGCCAGAAGGCCCTTGGAGCTGGACCTCAGTGTCCGGGCAGAACGATGGGGGTGGAGATGCTCCTTCAGGTATGCTGGGCTGAGGCCGTTTAGGGCTTTACAGGTCAGCACCAACACTTTGACTTGTGCTTGGAAACGTACTGGGAGCCAATGCAGGTCTCTCAGGACCTGTCTTATATGGTCTCGGCGGCCGCTCCCAATCACCAGTCTAGCTGCCGCGTTCTGGATCAGTTGTAATCTCCAGGTCACCTTCAAAGGTAGCCCCACGTAGAGTGTATTGCAGTAGTCCACTATCTCAAGGTTATAAGTGCAAACAGCATTCCTCTCTGACCATTGGTCATACTGGCTAGAGGTGGGGTTGCCAAGCAACATACAGAAGTCCCTGCTGCTGATTTAAAGGATTAAAACTAGATATATGTGATAGCCCTGTAATTGTCCTAAGTGTTGATTAGTTTTAACACCTTAGGTGTTTAGTATATTCTTAATTTGCAATCTGCCCTATGACCATTGCATAAAGGGTGGTTTGGACACGCCTCAGGAAATAACTAGTTGTTTCTCTGATTCCAGGAGGAGGTTACTATAACAATCTTTGTTCAATTATGGCTGAATCTCTGGACGCTGTAGTCGTTTCAATCGAGTGAGTACAGCAAGCATGGGATGAGCTGGTACATCTTGGGTGTCTTTTCTTTTTTAAAAATTTTTATTAGGTAATTCAACAAAACATATTATCTTAAAACATATCATCCTTAATTCCCCCCCCCCCATTTCCTCTCTCCCATAAAACAACCCTGCCCCCCGACTTCCCTCAGTTCCAGTCTCTGGTTTCTCTATAAATACTATTCTCTGCATGTTACAGAATTGTATAAGTCCTTAATTTATCTAAGTGATTATTATCAGTACAAAGTTTGTGAGTGTTTATTCAAAGCCTGCCAAGGAGTCCAATTCACTTTGTTGCATCTTTAGATACTTTGTAAAAAGGTTCCCATTCCTCTTTAAAGTCACAGTTCTCCTTGTCCCGTCGTTTATGTGTCAGTTTTCCCAGTTCTGCATAGTCCATCAGTTTCTCTAGCCATAATTCTTTAGTCGGGATTTCCTCAGTCTTCCATCCTTGTGCTAGTAAGACTCTCGCCGCTGCTGTCGCATACATGATGATATTTTTCAACTTCTTTGGCAGGTCTTTCCCTGCCAAATCCCTAACAGAAATGCTTCAGGTTTTTTAACAAATGTTAGATGGAACATTTTCTTCAATTCATTGTAGTACATCTTGGGTTTCAATGAAATTTGGATGGTTTGGAAAGGCTTTGTGGTTAAGACTAGCAAAACACAGTAGTTGCTTGTGTTGATGATGTTGACAGGTGGAGAGGAGCAGCTGTTCTAGCTTCCTGGCAGGTGGGTTGCTGTTACTGCCCCCCCCCCCAAAATATAACAGCAAAGCCAATCCAGCAATCCTGCCATTGAGTTTTGACTGTGCCACCACCTGCCCCAAGTAAACAACAGCGAAACACCTTTCAGGAAACCAGCACAGCCACGTTGCCCTACCTGGGAAGCCACCTCTGCATTTAGGATAACATTGCAATTATACATGCATTCACACTTATAGTTTTTAGTGAGGAATCTGACGCAGGAACCAGCCTTGCTGTCTCCTGGTTTCCAAACACAAATCATTCATCATTGGCGATCACTCATGGCCGAGTCAGATGCTCTTCCAAACATAATATGTTGGCTCTGTGTTATTATGAACGTTTCTACTCAGAAACTAAGTGCCACTGTGGGGCATGCTGCCATTCAGGTTAAGTGTGCCTGGGATTGCAGCCCGAGTGAAGGACCACATTAATTCACCTGGATTGTCAGTGCTTTACAGGTATAAAAAGCACGTGGTAGAAAATACAAGATGTCTGCAAATGGTCCTGTGTTTAATCCCCAGCATAGCATACCCAGAGAAGCAGACATTGGTGTAGTAATCTGATGATCAATGAAATAAAGAAAATCATGCATTTGGTTTGCATTTTGAAATATATATATGTACCGTATTTTCCCGTGTATAACATGCCCCCGTGTATAAGTTGACCCCTGTTTGGGGCGACTCCAAATTAAGAAAATGGGGGGAGATTGCCCAAAGTTGTTGAGCTTTTTTGAAGGGGTTGCTGAAAATCACTCACCCGCCTTACCAACACTGCCAATCGCACGCGCCGCCAAAGCCACCAATCGCCCGCCCTATTGCTGCAGCGGCAGCCAATGAACAGCAGGCCTTTCCACAGCCTCCAATCACCCGCCCAATTGACGCAGCAGCAGCCAATCAACAGCAGACATGGCTGCAGCCACCAATCAACCGCCCAATCATCGCCGACAATCTCCAGCTCATTGCTGCAGACAATCGCCCGTCCCCCCTCTGCACTATCCGTGTATAAGACAACCCACAATTTTAAGCATTATTTTATAATACAAAAACATCATCTTATACACGGAAAAATACGGTATGTATAAGTTGGCTAACGGTGTCTTTTAATGGTGCATCTATGTGCATTCCGTATATTTCTTTGCCGCGGTGGTTGAAATGACCATGATGGTCACAACAACAAATAAATTTTGGAAACGGACTCTGGGTAGCAGGGATGAGACAGTGAAGAGCAGCTGCCAAGGCAGAGCAGGCAGGACTGGTCCAGATTGTGATCAAATGACCTTACATCTTCCTAGGTGATAGGGATACAGATACCTCTTCCTTGTTGTGTTGTTGCAACAGTTTCCCCCCGTTCAGGGGCAAGTTCCTCGCATTGTAGCTCAGCCTTCTGACCTGTTGCCCTCCAGCTGTTCCTGAATTCCCACCATCTCTGACCTTTGACCATGCTGCCTGGGGCTGGTGAGAGCTGCAGTCCCAAACATCTGGAAGGGTCCAGGTCGACAGAGGTTCTGCTGTAGCTTATAGATTCCAAAAAGATGTACACCGGGCCTTTGATTGGATGCAGTGCCGGATTTACGTATAAGCTATAGCTTAGGGCCCCACTCTCTTGGGGGCCCATCAAAAAAATAAAGGGGAAAAATGATGTCCATTTCCAAAATATAAGATAAAAAAACAAATAAAATAAAACCTACATGCAGCAACAGTGTTTTGTGGTGTGTAGGCTCCTGTGATGTAAGTAATGGGCCCCGCATGCTAGCCTGCTCCCTAAAATATCACTGGTTTGCTCATTTCTATATACAGGGTGCCTACATTCTGCATGGACTGGTTGCATGGCAACATGGGCAAATGGCTTTAGATACCTATTAGGTCCACAAATTACCATATAGCATATATTCAACACACACAAAAGCGACAATTTGTTGTTGACAAAGGACAGCTGGACATATAAAGGGTCCCATTGCCTTCAGTAGCTTAGGGCCTCATCAAATGTAAAATCCGGCCCTGATTGGCTGTATTGTTCTACTAAAACCCATTTCCAAGGCATTAAAAGAGGCAGCCCCCATTTAATTGGGCAATACGTTGGAAAAGTGTAAGGCCTTACAAAAACTGCAAGTGACATGCAGCGTCTTTGAAGGCGGAATTTTCTCTTCTCTCACACACACAGGATGGGCCGCCTCTTCAGTGATGGCATCAGTTACAACATGCAAAGGAAGAAGGCCTTTTTTCCAAAACTGTTGCTAGGCAATTGTTTGAAGAACTGGTGGCTGTTCACAACGCACTTGATCAATGGACTCTTCTCTAATAATTGGGTGACAATCCTAGTGTATACTTCAGGGAAGTTGCTTATTTTAAATAATAATAATAATAATAATAAAGCAAGGCGCAAATTGTTAGAAGTCCATAGGCAAGAAGCTATTACATTGCAGGGGAACAGGGCAGCAATATCCTATCTTCATGCATTACCATATTTTTTGCTCTATAAGACTCACTTTTTCCCTCCTAAAAAGTAAGGGGAAATGTGTGTGCGTCTTATGGAGTGAATGCAGGCTGCACAGCTATCCCAGAAGCCAGAACAGCAAGACGGATTGCTGCTTTCACTGCGCAGCGATCCCTCTTGCTGTTCTGGCTTCGGAGATTCAGAATATTTTTTTTCTTGTTTTCCTCCTCCAAAAACTAGGTGCGTCTTGTGGTCTGGTGCGTCTTATAGAGCGAAAAATACGGTATCTTCTCAAGTAAAGTCAACAAGCAAGGTGGGAAATGTCGATTGTGTACAAGCTCCACCCCCAGTTGACATTCCTAAAACTATTCATGAATTGGAGGGCGATCTTCTGAAGTGGGGAATATCCTACACCTGTGGATGTTCTGTTTGTGCTTCACAATCCTAGAAAAATCAGGTGTCTTAAATTTTGTGGGGCGGTCCTGCACACCTAGGGGGTAACAAGAGGTGGGGCTAGTATGCTTATTCCCCTTGTGTGTTTACTTAATTTGGGTCAATAACTCCTAAAGAGGGCTTAAAAGAGATCCCCGGTTCTTTCTCAGTGTCCAGAATGTTATGGGAGGGGGAGCAGAACTGAGAATCAGAGGAAACTGTCATGTAAGCATTATAGCAGAACATAAAAGGTAAAGGTAAAGGGACCCCTGACCATTAGGTCCAGTCGCGGACAGCTCTGGGGTTGCGCGCTCATCTCGCTTTATTGGCCGAGGGACCCAGCATACAGCTTCTGGGTCATGTGGCCAGCATAACTAAGCCGCTTCTGGTGAACCAGAGCAGCGCACGGAAATGCAGTTTACTTTCCCACTGGAGCGGTACTATTTATCTACTTGCACTTTGACGTGATTTCGAGCTGCTAGGTGGGCAGGGGCTGGGACCGAACAACGGGAGCTCAACCCCTCACGGGGATTCGAACTGCCAACCTTCTGATCGGCAAGTCTTTAGAAGCAATTGCAGATGTTGAATTTTAAAGCTCTGGGATAATAATAAACAGAACAGAGTGCTGAAGTACTAGTGTTTACTTAACTTTTTTTTAAATGCCCCTTTTCCCAGTTTTTCTTCTTCCCCCCAAAAAACAACAACCCAGTAATTGATTATGCAAAAACATAAATATTCTAGTAATGGGGTCTCTCCCTCTCTTTTCTAATTTATTCTGTGATGCCATCACTCCCAGTGGAATCCAGTGGCAAAGTAACAGCTGAACATTATATAATGATGTGTGATTCTCTCCTTGAAGAAACCCCACAAGGAGAACTAGTTGCCTGATTTGCTCCCTCAAGGATCTTTTGCACTCAGATGGTTCGTTCATTATCTCCCCATATTTACTGTTGTTTTCAGACACAATATATAAATACACACATATCGTTAGTTATAAATGTATGTCTGCAAATGGTTGGGTTTTTTTGTTTACCCAAACTCTTGATTATTATTATTTTATTTAACAAGGTTTATCGACGGCTTAATAAAAAAAAATCCCTAAGCAGTTTGCATAAAACATACATAGCACATTCATAAGAAAATACCAATAACTTTTTCAGAAAGGAAAGTATTCTGTTTATTTTTATCCAGCTCAGGGCACCAACTGCCCTCTAGTGGCCTTATGTGCAAATGACAAACTTTTTACATAAAGAGCCAACTTTTGTAAGAAAACAAATGACAGCTTTGAGCAAGCCGAAGCTATGTTACATCTGGAATTTTAAGCGTGGCCGCTGGGCTTTTGTTGCTGTCTATAGCTGCCACAGAGTGATATTTGTCAGGGCTGTAGCATGCACTCTCCTCCCATGTTTCTGATGAAAAATAACACACACGTACCAGGTAATTCATAAAACTCTGGTGTGTTTTGGTTCAAACAAATAGGAGAGCTTTTATTGATATAGAAACATGCATGAATTGGCTCTCATATTAGAGACATTAGGAGGCTGTTGTGTTGCAACGCGTGCAAGTGTTAGCGTCGGCCAGGCGGGTGAGTGCAATCCTCCATTAAAAAAAACTCAAGAACTCTGGGCAATCTTCCCGCATTTTCTTATTTTTTATTCCCCCCCATGGGGGCGTGTTATACACGGAAAAGTACAGCGTTTTGTGAGAACAGGATTCTGGACTGGCCGGTCCATGGACCTGATCTTGCAGGGCTGTGTTCTTCTGTTCTTTTTGACCATGGCAGATTTCGAATACGGTCCAAAGGCATGCCGAGGCCTTAGCCTCGCCCAATGTAAGCACTGAGTCCAGAACGCTGCTCCCAACAGAAACTGCTTATTTCGTTGCAGGTACCGGCTCGTGCCAGACTTCCACTTCCCAGTGCAGTTCAACGACGTCCTCCAGGCTACGAAGCACTTTATGCTCCCCGAAGTCCTCGCGCGATATTCCGTGGATCCCAGCAGAGTTGCCATTTCGGGCGACAGTGCAGGAGGAAACCTGGCTGCTGCCGTATGCCAAGAGGTAACACAAGTGACATATGTAGGGATCCTAAAGCGTGGAGAACATGCTGGAGATCATTACTCTGCGTAGAGCCACACTGCAGAATGTCCCAGTGCCAACCCCTGTTTTCTGCAGTTTCATAGATGTCAACTTACAGATTTGAAAATAAGGGACCAGCATCCTCGAAAATAAGGGATCAGCAGCCCAAATAAGGGATTTTCCCAGCACAGGTATGTTCAACTTCTGAGCCCCTCTGAGCCAAAGGCAGAAAGCCCAGCCAGCAGCCAATCAAAGCCTCAAGTGGTGGTTCCCACAGCGCAGCAACCCGGCAAAGGGGATGCAGCAAGGAAAACAACTGTCACCTTTCCACTGGGAAGTGCTGAGCAAAGGCGAGTCCCCAGGCAACGTGGCCGATTTGATCGGCACAAGGCATGCAAGCTCCACCCCCCAGTCGTTCTTATTGGGTGAGCAATGCAGCCAAGCAACACAATTGGAGCCTCCCTCCTCCCTGGCCGGCAGGGAGAGAGGGAGAGGAGCTGCTTCCTTTGAAACCCAGGAAATTTAAGGGACATCATCAATAAGGGACAGCAGCGGGACACGGCGCTGGGATAAGGGAGTTTCCTGCCAAATAAGGGACAGTTGACAGCTATGTGCAGTTTGCGGCACCAAGTAACCGCAGACTACAGAAAACAGCGATTGGAAGCAGGACAAGCAAAGCATGGCTCTAGCATGGGTTATGGTCCCAGCATGATCTCCATACTTTAGGAAGGACATGGGCAGCCAACTGGCAGCCTCCAGTTGGACCAGAGCTCTCATCAGCCCTGACCATTGGTCATTCTGTCTAGGGTTGATGGGACCTGCAGACCTATAACACCTAGAGTAAGATTACCGGATTTTTATCAACAAATCCGAGGACACACTTTTAAACTTCAATGGATTTTGTATGGGGACTGATTTGTAAATCCGGGGTAAATTTGGTAACGTTTGCCTAGAGCACCATATTGACTATCCGTGATTTACAGTTCACAGTGAAATCTTCCACTGCCAACGCCCTTCTTCTTGCCAAAGTAGTAGCCAATTGCGCCCCTGTTTCCAGCAGGAAATCATTGTGTGGGAAGATGGGATATGATGCAAGTTTAAGCAGGCGTCAGTCATTGGTTTGGACTGTAAGCCAACTTCCAGGTTAATAGCTAATGGAATAATTAATGGGAAAGTGGGACATGAACGTGTTTGAAGAGTAGAACTGAGTCTAAATTAAAGCCTTATTTATTAAATTTGTGTACCGACCTTCATCCGTCGATCTCAAGGTGGTTCATAACAGAAAACTACAATATGAAAAATATATCGCGATGGCCATTGGCTATAAACAATAAAACTTCTATGAAAAACACCTGGTGCCTAAAGGTATGTAATGAAGGCGCCAGGCGAGTCTCCCTGGGAAGAGCATGCCACAAATGGGGAGCCACTGCAGAGAAGGCCCGTTCTCATGTTGCCACCCTCCGGACTTCTTGAGGAGGAGGCTCATGAAGAAAGGCCTCAGAGGATGGTCTCAGGGTCCGGGTAGGTTCATATGGAGAGAGGGAGTCCTTGACATTAGTTCTTGAATAATAAAGCTGCTTAACTTCTGTGCTTCCTTTTGACACAAACAATCTGTAAACTGCAGGACTTCCAACTTCACCCATCTTGAGTGAGGTTAGTTAGTGAAGTTTCTTATACGCTGTTGCTGCTTTCTGTTGACAAGTGTGGGTGTAGGCCTTCTTCTCAAGCACTAAATCAGGGATGGGGGACCTGTAGCCTTCTGGATGTTGCTGAACTCCAACTCCCAGCATCCCTGGCCACTGGCCATTCTGGATGGGGGCTGATGGGAGTTGGAGTCCCACAACTGTATTTTAACCAATTGTTTGATTTTGTGTTTTTAATGTATTATATATTTGATGTTAGCTGCCCTGAGCCCGGTGTTGGCTGGGGAGGGCGTGGTATAATTATTTATTTATTTATTATTATTATTATTATTATTATTATTATTATAACATTTGGAGGACAGGGCACTAAATGTTCCATTAAATCATTGCAATAGGTGTGATGATGCCACAGCACAAATGTAGAACGCATCAGGGAAAGAGGTTACCAAGGTTGTAGAAAGGCAATAAACAAGTAATTAACCCACACCTTAGGTAGGTTTCTACATGTGGATTGAGTAAGATGCCAAACTCTCCTCACAGGGGCTTTGATAACTGAAATAAGAGGAGGATACTTTGAGCGGAGATCCTGTGAATGTTTTGCCTTGTCTAAGGTGATACTGACTTCAGGGTAAACAAATGCTAGATTGGGTTGCATGACTGTCGAGTGTTAGAGACTTTCCAGATCGCTTACAAGAGGCAATTAAGTCTTATTTGTGCTCCATCTCAGCATACGCACTCTTTTATGGGGGGGGTTAACAATGTTTGTTTGCTGCAGTGAAAAACGCCCGTGTCTGAAAGATTAACACATTTTATTATGTCATAAGCTTTGGCACCTCACTCTTGTCAGACACATGGACTTTGAGCTTCCATTATCATGTGTGTGTCGCCAGTATATACTCATAGGAATAAGAGGAGGAGAGAATGTAAAGGTTGGAGGTAGGGATCTCAAGAGGATTTCAGTCCAGGTCGAATATTGCTATGAACTGCTCTTCATTTGTTTCATCAAACCACCTCTGCACCAGGTAAAAGCACTTTTTAAAATGGTGCAGGAAGCAGCGATATGTCACTTCCTGTGTAATTGGATACACAAAGGGATGCTCTATCTGTGACAAAATGGCTGCCCTTTTGAAGCTGTTCTAAGCAGATTTACAGAATTAAAATGTGGGGTGGGGAGATAGTAACCACTCTGTTCACCTTGTAAATACTCCACTTGTGTTTTTTGGTGATGTGCAGATTGGGGGTGTCACCAGAATTATCTTCTAAAAACTGCACAGGAACCAGATAGGAAATACTTTACTGCATCCATGTGTGGGACCGAGATAGACTGGGATTGCATCGTCTCATGGGAAGTAAATGGCAACAGAATGGGAAAAGTACAGTCTGTAAGAGTTCAGTTGGAGGATTGTCACAGAGTACAATTTATTCCACAAAAGCTTGCGCCACCAAAAAAAACCCAGTCTTGATGGCTTAATGTTCTGTTCTCTGATGAGAGTGAAATTTACTTTTGAGGGCATCAAAGAAAATAAAGCAACCCATTTCTCATTGTGTTTACATATGTTACATTGTGATAGTATTGCATGCAACATCTGAATCGTGCCCTGTTTTGTCTGCCTTGCTTCCGCAGATGACTCAAGAGGAAAATGTAACCACCAGATTTAAACTGCAGGCTCTAATTTATCCAGTCCTTCAGCCGTTCGATTTCAACACCCCCTCGTACCAGCAGAACGAAGTCACGCCTGTCCTTCCCCGTTTTGTCATGGTGAAGTTCTGGTTAGACTACTTCAACGGAAATTACGACTTTGCCCATTCTATGGTGGTCAACAACCACACCGCCCTCGACATGAGTGAGGCCAATGCCTTCAGAGAACACCTGGACTGGACTTTCCTCCTACCTTCGAGGTTCAGGAAGAACTACAAACCTGTCGCACACGCGACGGGGAAGGCAGAAATAATCCGGGACATACCTGCCTTGCTAGATGTCCGTGCCGCTCCCTTGCTAGCTGAGAAGGAGGTGTTCCGCATCCAGCCAAAGACTTATATCCTGACTTGCGAAATAGATGTTCTGAGAGATGACGCACTCATGTATGCCAAACGGTTAGAGAAAGCAGGTGTTGCGGTGACTATCGACCACTTTGAAGACTGTTTTCACGGCTGCATGATCTTCACCGTTTGGCCTACCAATTTTTCCGCAGGATTCCAAACCAGGGACAGCTACATCAAGTGGCTAAGTCAAAACCTGTGAAGGAAAGTGCCCCCCTCTTAAAAACTAAAAACTGTAACAGGTCCCCAAGTCACGTGTCCACCTTTGTATGCAATCTTGTGCCATCCGTTTTGAAGACTTCGTTGGAGAGTTTTCCGTTGCAGCAGAGTCGTGTGCCACCAATGACTTGTATGATTTGCTTGGACTGTACACTGCTGGGGTTTTTTTGTGGGGGGGGGTCTTTGGGCAGTCTTGAACCCAGACCCTAAAGGCATTACAAGAGAGTCAGGACCCAACCTGTAGCAGAATGAGGTGGTAGGTGAGGCTAACGCTTCAGATTGCAGGAGGAGGGATGCAAATTCTTCCATGTAGAAGCTCTCTTCAAGTGGAACATTGACACGGCAGTGTAACAAATTCTATCCTGGCCCTCTCCCTATTGAGCTTATTTTCTGCTTGCAAGGAAGGGTTTGTTTGTCAGCCGTAAGGAAGAGCTAAAAAAACATGGGTTTACCCATCTGCAAGTCTGAAATGGTATATAGTCCATTGCACCATTTATTTCTGCTGCCTATATAGAGGGTGTGTATCAAAGTGCAAGTAGATCAATAGGTATCAAAGTGCAAGTAGATCAATAGGTACCGCTCCAGCGGGAAGGTAAACAGCATTTCCATGCGCTGCTCTGGTTTGCCAGAAGCAGCTTAGTCATGCTGGCCACATGACCTGGAAGCTGTACGCCGGCTCCCTCGGCCAATAAAGCGAGATGAGCGCCGCAACCCCAGAGTCGGCCACGACTGGACCTAATGGTCAGGGGTCCCCTTACCTTTACCTTTATCCAGCTAAACAGTTCTGCTAGCAAAAGCATTTTTGGCTGCTCGGCAGAATTTCCTGTCCCTCTCCTCCACCCTGTGTCCCCTAAATCTGCTCTGGAAAGTTGGTGGGGAAACCCCAGATCATATTTAGGGGGCATATTTAGAAGAGAGAGAGGCTGTTCCAGCATGCAGCCCCTGAAGTGCTTTTACCAGTGGAAATGCTTCGTTGGGTTCCAGCCATAGAGACTAGGCCCCAGTTATGTTCAAATTGCTGGGTAACATCCTTCCTTCCCAGCACCCTTAACAAAGTACAGTGGCCAGGATTATCTGTGAGTGTTAAAGTAGTATAATAGTGCTTTGAAATGTATGGTGTGAACGTGGCCCAAATCAAAACAAGGCTGTTACAGTGGTGCCTCGCAAGACGAAATTAATCCGTTCCGCAAGTCTCTTTGTCTTGCGGTTTTTTCGTCTTGCGAAGCGCGGCTTAGCGGCTATTAATGGCTTAGCGGCTATTAACGGCTTAGCAGCTTTAAGAAAAAGGAAACAAACTCGCAAGACGTTTCGTCTTGCGAAGCAAGCCCATAGGGAAATTCGTCTTGCGGAACGACTCAAAAAATGGAAAACCCTTTCGTCTAGCGAGTTTTTCGTCTTGCGAGGCATTCGTCTTGCGGGGCACCACTGTACTCTTAAGCGCCACTGTCACTGTTTCTCTAGGAAAAACAGCTTATCCATCAGACCTGATTTGTGACCCGGCAAGTGTAAAGCAGCCCACCCCACCCCCATTTATTGTTTCCTGCCAGCCTGCTTTTTGCCATTTTGGAGGCTTGGCAAGCCACCAGAGGCCCATGCTTAGCTTAATGGGTTGCAAGTATTTCAGGCCTGGTGTAAATAGAAGACCGCGAGGCTGGGTCCCGTAACTGCAATCTTATCCTACGACATTTAGATTGGTTGCATCCTGTGCTGGTTGGTGCAGGTACCTTTTGGGACCAAAAGCTCCACTTGGGATTTCGAGAGAGCGCCGTGGGCACCAGCTACAAAATGGCGACACAAATGGCCGCCACATTTAAAAGCACAGGAAAAGAGAAAAGGAACGCAGCTTGGGATGGATGAGCATTACACTTACATACACACACAGGCAATGGGGAAAATGGACCTACGCCAGCTGCTGCCATGTTTGCTCACAGAGACAAACTTTTTGCACCTCTCCTCTGTTCAGAGACGATGGGAGCATTGGTGTTCTGTGGAATGTGGGCATGTTTAAAGGGTTAGAAGAGGCCGAGCCAGTGCAGAGAAACTTTCTCTAGTGAATTGTGGATTTTGAAAGGGACATTTCCCAAGACCTTTGGAGGGTACCATAGGTGATATGGGTGGGCAGACACAGTCGTGACCCCTGGTGTGGACAGCACTGACACAGATAAGACTTCAGTACGAGGCAGTGTCCTTTGATGATAGTCTTCAAGCCACTTTTTTGTATCCTAACATCAATGCAAGAGGCTTCCTGGTAGGGCTAAGGAGCCTCTCCCAGTAAGCTCTACACTGGTTATGTACAGCTTCCTCCTTTCTGATCAGGTGTTGATCCTGGGGAGATAGGAGCCAACGAATAATGTATCTCACTCTCCCTCTGTACCACGTCCTTCATCCTGTGTGCTGGTATTTAAAACGTTGATCGTGACTGGAGTGAAGTCTTTCTTCATTTGCCTAATCTGCAGGACAAGCAGGCGCAGCTATTCAAGTTCCTCGCTAATGACAAGGGAGCATAAAATGGGCTCCCAAGGACTATATTCAATGCATACCATCAAATGGGCTTTATTCCACAAAAACTTGTGCCGCCAAAAAACAGTCTTTAAGGTGCCCCATGGCTTGCCCCTGCAAAAAGCCAGGCAACTTACAGTAATTTTGCAGTAATTTTTGCTCAGCGACCAATACTTATTTTCTTTAAAGAGGTGCCTGGCTATTGTCCATCTATATTGATGTACTTTCATCCACTCCTCCCCCCCTCAACCATTCAGAATTTGCCTACTGCATGAATACTAGCCCCTCATACAACATAGGATATTACTACCAACTTTGAAAGGAATTACTATGCCAGCTGCTTTCAAAACAAAACACCTGTGACCAATTTAGGTGCTGACCTCCTGTTGCTGGTTGGTCTTTTAAAAAGGTCACATCTGCAGATGATACCTGGAACACACCTGAAATTGTTTCCATACATTGAATGATCAATACTGAATGACACATATTTTGATCTTTTTTTTAATCTTCACTATTTCTCAGAGCAGTCTTTGTTCCTGAGTCTCACATCTCTGGTCTACAGGAGAGAAGTTGGGGTGTTTTTCAGAAGGCACTCGAACCCCTCCTGCAAAACAATTGCTGCCTGGAGTTGCCCTAATGATTCAATCCTATACAGTGGTGCCCCGCAAGACGAATGCCTCGCAAGACGAAAAACGCGCAAGACGAAAGAGTTTTCCGTTTTTTGAGTCGTTCCGCAAGACGAATTTCCCTATGGGCTTGCTTCGCAAGACGAAACGTCTTGCGAGTTCTTGCGAGTTTGTTTCCTTTTTCTTAAAGCTGCTAATAGCCGCTAAGCCGTTAAAAGCCGCTAAGCCGTTAATAGCCGCTAAGCCGTTAATAGCCGCTAAGCCGCTAATAGCCGTGCTTCACAAGACGAAAAAACTGCAAGATGAAGAGACTCGCGGAACGGATTAATTTCGTCTTGTGAGGCACCACTGTACACACTTTCCTAAGAGTAAGTTCTGTTGAACTCAGTGGAGCTTGCTTCCCACTAGGCATAGTTAGGATTGGAATGCAAGGCATCTCCCGCTAAGCTCTTGCAGCCAGTTTTAAATTTATCAACATATGAGTGCCTTTCACTCACTGAAGAGCACAGTACTCCGGCTTCTCTGGGTTGCACTGTTATGTCTGACCCAGTGGTTAATGGCAAAAGAAGCTTATTATTCAAAATGCAGCCTTATCTGCCTCAAAAATAGCTCAGGGAAACTGGTTATTTTTGGACTTCGGATGCAAGTGAAAAGGGAATAGCCTGGAATAAGTTATGCCAGCAGGTGGCGAACTTGAAAATAGCTCCCTGGGCTGCAATTTAATACAAAGTCTTCAGCTCTAGAAATAGATGACAGTTTTCCCTGGAAATACTGAGTTGCGCTCATCCTCAAAATACTTATTTTCCCACTACCACCAGCAGGGCAACTGATCTAGAAATGTGACTGGTTTATTTTGAAATAGACATTTAAGAGTCAAAACAAAGGTGACACTAGAGATTCATCACCATATCTTCAGATTTTTGTCTTCCTTTTAAAGCGGCTGCATACAAGGGAAGGGAGGTCTCCAATTTTGATCAGAACAGCCGTGTCTGGGTTAACCAGCCCTACATTGTTTTCTTGATTGACATTTTCCTTCCCCAAAAAGATGCAAGTACTGTATTTTTCGCCCCATAGGACACACTTTTCCCCCTCCAAAAATGAAGGGGAAATCTGGGTGCATCCTATGGGGCGAATGCAGGCTTTCGCTGAAGCTTGGAGAGCGAGAGGGGTCGGTGTGCACCGACCCCTCTCGCTCTCCAGGCTTCAGGAAGACATCCGCAGCCTAGGCAGCCCTGCGGGAACTCCCGCAGGGCTGTCTAGGCTGCGGATAGCAGCCTGCTTCCCGGAGGGCTGGGCGCCCGGAAAGCAGAGCGCCCGGCGCTTCGGGAAAACATCCGCAGCCTAGGCAGCTCTGCGGGAGTTCCCGCAGGGCTGTCTAGGCTGCGGATTGCAGCCTGCTTCCCAGAGCGCCGGGCGTGCTGAAAGCAGACACCAAAGTTGTTGAGCTCTCTTTAGTGAGGGGGGCAAAGTTGTTGAGCTTTTTCCCTTTTTTGCAAAATCACCCCCAAAAAGAGTTTTGGAGCTTTTTGTAAAGAAATTTGCCCTCCAAAATTTGCCACACGCCCAGGTTTTCCCATACAGTTTACCGCAAACGGGGAATTCCCCCCTGGACGCAATTTGTGAGGCCAAATTCTGGACGTATGGCATCCCTACATGGAGCTGAGCTTTATCCCTTAGCCCAGTGGTTCCCAATTAGCAAATTACTCAGGACCCTCTATTTTTCAAAAGCCAAGCCACGGAGCCCCTACTTTCAAAAATATTGGTAACTCTATGGTAGTTACCTGTGCAAAGCAAGTTTTGGAAGAAAATGTAGGGTAGGGCCTAATACGCAAAGGATTTTAGGTATACTAAATAAAAGACCATGAAATTTGTGATATTACCACACAAAAATGACAAAGATTTAGTT